TCAGATACCCTCCCCCCTTTCCCCCACTGGCACGGGCTCCCAGTCAGCCATTTAATATTATTTGAGAAGTCCTGCCAGTGTAAAAAGTACTGTATAAAGGTAAATTGTTGTTTGTGCTCATTTAGATCAGGGATTTACATTTTGGTACCAGTATTCAACATCCTCGGTTCAGGTTTAGAATTGTTAATACAGACCAAAGCTGCCTCCACTCTACTCAATAATAAGGAGTTTGAGCCACAACTCCAAAATAGCACCCCTGACTGGAAGAGTGTCATCATTCTGCACTACACATAAACCACCTTTATCCTTCCTTCAAGGAAGACCTCCAATTGCCTATTCTAATTTGCATCAAATCCTAGGTAGTTTTGTGCTCAGTGCCTATTAGGCACAAGGACTTGAGTTAAGAATGCCCAAATTCATGTCCCATAGGAACCATTTTGCTAGCAGAACACATTTAACAGATCAGCCTTGGCTGGATTTAAATAAACCCAAATCCCAGAAGTATGAGGGCTCACTGCACAAGCAATTATCGATTAAATATTCTTAAAAAATATTTTGAAGCATATATAAATCTTTGTTCAGATGGGGATTTAGCTTTGTGACCAAATGAAGTTAGAGACAGGTGAACATTTTACATAGAGTGTATGATATAGACAACAAAATCATGCTAATTACGTACAGCTCCTCTACTGCCTCTCCCCTCAGGCCACCGAGACCCTCATTCACCATGGTAACTCCCTGTTTGTCAGCATTCCCGACTCTTCCTCATTCAGAACTCTGCAGCTCGTGTCCTCTCTCACACCAAGCTCCATGACCCTCTCATTAGCCGTAGCCCAGCTAGACTGACTCCCCATCCCCCAGGGGATAGAGTTCAAAATCCTCATCCTTGCCTTCAAAACCTTCCACGGCCTTGCTCTTCCCTATCAGAGTTAGTGAACTGCTAACTCCATATAGATCTGACTGCTCCATCTGCTCAGCAGGCTCCACCTGCTCCACGTCCCCCACCAGCCTATCCCACCATTGGCAGTTAGGCCTTCAGCCTCTCTGCTCCCACCCTTTGGAACTCCACCCCACAGGCCCTTCACCTTGCTCCTCCACTGCTTCCTTCGCGGACCACTTCAAGACCCAGCTCGATTGTACTTCGGTCATCCTCCTACCCCTAGCCTCACACTAACTGTCCAGCACCTTTGGACATTCTCCCACTGTGAAAGGAGCTACACAAATTTAACTTGCTGTTGTTGTTATCTCCTTTAGGTTGTGGAAAAAGATGGAATTTCTGAACTTAAGTTCCAAGAATATTTGATTTTGTTTTTTTCCAGCTTGGGTGGCAAGTTTGCAGAAGATCTTTCTTCAAAACCACAACCGAATGTGATGTTTGCTCAATTTGTTTAGTTTCACAGGTAGAAACTTTGAATGTAGATCATTTAGGTGGAGGGGAAAAGGTGTGGTTCCTGAACTATCTCCTGGCTGGGTAAGTGTTTGATTCTATGTCAGTTACTTGTGATAATTTTGTGAAATATTATTTGTCTTTTTCCAGCTCAGCTGGTAAATTTTCAGGAGATATTTCTTCAAAAACCCCAATTTGTTTAGCTTCACAGGTTGAAACTTGAATGTTGTTCATATAGGTGGAGGAAATGGTGTGGTTCTTGAACTATCTCCTGGCTAGGTGAGTGTTTCTGTTTGTTGTGTGATACTTTAAAATGGTAGCTCATTTGCTTTTTTTAGCCTGTATTGTAAATTTCCATGTGGACTCATCTCTCCAAAACCTCAATTAAATGTCACCTCTGACCATACCAATTTATTTAAATTCCTGGCCATCCGGCTGAAAATTGCACTCAGTCAAGTGCATTTATGGTGTTCCACTTTGACATATACTTACTGTTTATCAAGAGATTCTGCCTACTTAAACCTTAACCCTACATATTTCTCCCTTCCCAACTGAGCAGTGGAAACACCTTGCTAATCAAGAGGGCATCACTATTTAATCAAAGGACCTAACTGTGATGTGGGGACAATATAAAGGATCTCTGTGTTAAAGAAATAAACAATGAACAAAGAATACAACTTTCCTGCATTCCCCACACTTCAACTGAAGTTGCAAAAATGGGCTCGGGAAGAGAGGAATACTGAGCAGTGAGGATAAATAATGAGATTAGCAATGCTTTTATACAAATTTTTATTCATATCTAAAAGAAATAAACATGACTCAAGTTACAACAATTAAAAGGTAGTTTGCAACTGGTTCCACCGAATTGCACAAAAAATTACACTTTCTCAAAAATGGATGCTTTTTGGTTGCTCTGTTCCTGACTTCTCCTGTGACTGAGACAAGCACAGGCCTGAGCATTTCTCTGATATTCACAAAAGGAATCATTTTCATCCAGGATTCTGGATAGGAGATGAAAGTAGAAAGTTACAAAATTAAGAAATTCAAAAATATTTTTTAAACTTTAACAACTGGCATCTAAAATCTAAGTTAATTCTATATTCATTTCCTTCACTTTTTCCATAAGTCTAATTTCTGTCTTTCCCAAACCTTTTACAACTTATTTTTAAATTTTCCAATTACGGAACACAGGAACAACTTACTGGTTTGGCTTTTCATTGGCTAAAATGTGTGATCGTCGCAAATTCGAAGATCTGTAAGATAAAAATGTGAAGAATAAACTGATGTTGAATACAACAAAACCCAGTGATTTCCCAAATAAAGTCAATAAACATTCTCTGGGCTGTGAGTTGAGCAGACTGAACGCGATGGAAGACACCAACTAATAATAGCGGCAGCCTCTGAAAAGAAATTTTAAAAAATTAATAATCAAAAACTCTACGAGTAAGAACTTTGAATTCACGCTGTATAAATGCAATTATTTGTTGTTGGGAAAAGGAGCAGCCAATTTAAACACAGCAAGTTCCCACAAACACTCATGAAGTGAATGGTCAATATTATCTGGGGGGATTGTTGGCCAGGGGAAAAACTCATTTCAATTTTCAAATAGGATCTGGGCAAAATGTGGGCTTCTGTGTACAACACGTTTCAAACATCTCAACAAAAGGAGCTGCATTGTTCCAGCTAAGTATGGTATGAAGATAGTCAACAAATGTAGATGTGCAGAGTTAAGACTGTAGCTATGTGGACAGTGACAAATGTTTTGCAACGATACTAACCTATGCCTTTGAAACTTCGAAAGATGGTTGTTGCTTTGAGATGGCATAGTCCTTTTTGATGCGGCAATGATAAAAGCCAGGCAATCAAGAGCTGGAGACAGAAAAACAGACCCTGCAGTCTTTGGCTGACTTAATTGTAACTTTGCATCATCGCAATTTTCATTGTATGTTAAATCTTTTGAAAATCCCAAAGTGCTAATATTGCTTACTTCAGGCACTGATAACAGAAGTATTAAGTCAAGAAACACATTAGATGTATCCTGGTCCTTTTTGCCTATTAGTACAAAAAACATACTAATATTAATTCTGTGATATTCTAAAACAGTCTGACTATAAACACACCCTAACTCCAACTGCAGGTACATTTGTCAGTGGGAAAGAAACTGAAGTTTGAAACAAGTAATAGGGCTTTTCAATGCCACAAAGAATTAGCAGGTTTCCTAGTTAAAATAATAATCGTTGCACCTTAGCACTTTGTTGTGATGTCTCAAAGCACTTCACAGAATGTATTGTAAAGTGGATTGGTTGTGTACAGCTCAATGAGCTTCAGTCTGTTTGTACTGGACCATTACTAACTCAGAAACTCAAACAGTGTGCCAGCGAAGCAGTGTTGAAATCCTTTGTTGCTCCGAGCAATGATCAAGGTTCTTTTCAGGAAATCTCCAGTTTCACTTGTTATTATTGACACCTGTTATTGACAACCCAATGTGCAAAAAAGAACGGTCCCATGCATTTTTAAACTTATTTTTTACTTGAACTTCTCACCAATCTCTTCAGGTCACTTCAGTTTCCTGTTGTTCTCTCCTCTTCTGAAGATGTTGACTCTTTTGATACAGCATCAAATCCATCGAACCTTCACCAAATGGCCACACCTCACTTGATCCTATCCTCACTGAACATCCCCACGTTTAACATTTCCCAGACAGTGATCAGATATAGTAACCTTTGCTTCTTTTATGTACTCTTAATGATGAATGTCGCTCTCTCTCACGACTGACGAATCACAGACCAGCAATCAAAGTTGAGACCTTCCCTGGTCTGTATGTCTCAGTTTCATACTCATTAGCAAGCTTTAAACGCTGAAGGGTAAAAGTCACTGGCACATTTATCCTTTAGTTTTATCATCTATGCAACATACGGCAACTCAAACTTCTTTACCAAAAATCAAAACAGGAATCTAATCCCACAAACAAAAATTTCTCCCAACCATAATAATTGCATTTGGTAGTATTTTACATTGGGAAGACATCTCAAAGTGCTTCACAGGATTTACTGTGAAGTGGAGGGACTGCATTCTGTAGCAAAAATAGCAGCCCAATTGCATATAGCAATGTCCCACAAACAGCCATGAAACAAATAGCCAATTTAATTTGGAGGATTGTTGGCTAGCACACAGGGAGAAAATCCCTTCTTTTCTAACGATTCTGTAGGATCTTTAAAGTCTACCTGAACAGGCAGACTGGACCAGTTCAACATCTCAGCCGACAATGCAACTCACCCCGCATCCGAGTGTCAGCTTAAACATTGTGAGGTGAACAACAAATTGCATTTATGTAGCAACTTTCACGAATGTCACGAAGTGTATGCATCTGTTACATAAGTGAAAGGGCGCAGAACTAATCCATCAGGCATCTCCATCAAACAAGGAACCACAAATCTACACAGAGCTGATGAATCAAATTGCTCAAATCCTGGAAACCTACCAAAACCTAACAGCATTTTCGTACAGTGATGCACCAATCAGAGTTTCTTTTTCTTAATTATAAATTGTATTAAAAGCACACATTTGTGGCTGGAGTAACCTAGTGTTCAGTGTTGAACAAGGAGCCAGTGAACAAGACGAAAGCCTTTAGAGATAATAAACAAGATACATCAGTGGCACGCATCAATAAATCCCCCCTTGCACTGCCACTTATTTCACACGTTTCCTTTCATCCTGTGTATGCAAACAGGAAAAAAAGTAACAATGCCCATATTGTAAGGTGTGTATGAAATTGTCTCTCTAAGCACAGCTCATAATATTCAGAAAGAAAACTGCGGTGCGGTGTGACTGTCAATATCAATTTACTCCTATTATGGTTACAAGAAGTCTCTGGTATAAACCTGCTTTTACATCTTATAACTGTGAGCCAACACGTTAGTAGCACAGAAGAGGCTGTAAAACAAAGCCTCTGCTGCCCTATTCACATCACAAACTCAATAGAATTTTAAAAAGGGTTCATGACAGGAGCTGCCTTTTCTTCACGTGCAAATAAACTTTACTAGTGATCTTTCAACTGACGTCTTGTCTTCAGTGGTCTCCTTCAAACTTCCTTGGGTGAAAATTTAATACCGCATGATTCAATTGTAATTGACTGCTTTTTAAAACACTGTGCAATTCAACAATATCTATTGCACGCATTTACAATTGAAGGACAATGCTGAACTGTAAACTGAATGGAGTCCTCTTTTCTGGCTAATGCTGAAAGCCATCTGAAATTGTGAGACTGTGATTGTTCATATGGCTATCGAGGACTGTGACCTAGAAAACAACAGAAAAATGTTTCAGCAAACTGGTACGACCATTGTCTAACAACACTTCAATGACAATTATCCAATATTAGGGGGATAATAAATGGCCATCAAAATTGGTTCCCCAAAATCTGTACAAGATTCCCTTTTCCACACTGCTTACTTCATAATTATGCAGTACAGAAGGAGGCCATTCTCTGCCGGCTCTTTGAAAAGAGCTATCCAATTCAATCCCTCTCCCCCGGCGCTCTCCCACAGGCCTACAAACTTGTCTTCCCCAAATAATTATCTACTTCTCTCTTAAAAGCTGTTATCGAATCGGCTTCCACCACCCTTTCAGGCAATGTATTCCAGACTTGAACTCCTTGCATCAACAACGTTCTTTGCTCTCTTTAAAATGTACTATTTTTAACCATCACGCTCTTCCCCAGACGACAACTTATAAAACTTGATTTAAATTCGCTCAATCTTATTTGTACTCAAATACATGACTCAGACCAGAGAGAGAAAAGGTGTGTCTGGGACCCAATGATGTGGTAATGGTCACAGAAGAGGGGGAGGGGTAATGTGAGCTGTTTTGGTCTGAAATTATTGAAATCAATATTGAGGTCAGAGGACTGTAAGGTCCCTAGCAGATAGATGAGGTGTTGTTCCTGGAGCTTGCACTGTGACTCATTGGAATAGCGTAAGAGACCATGGATGGAGAGATCAGAGTGGGAGGAAGAGTTGAAATGGCAAGAAATTGGTAGCTCAGGGTTGTACTTGCGGACAGAACTGAGGTGTTTTGCAAATCGGTCACCCGATCTGCGTTTGGTCTCCCCAATGTAGAGGAGACCACATCGTGAGCAGCAAATGCAGTAAACTACATTGGTGATAGTACACATAAATCACTGTCTCACTTGAAATCTGTGTTTGGAGCCCTGGAGAGTGGTATGGGAGGAGGTGAAAGGGCAGGTATTGCATCTACTACGCTGGCATGGGAAAGTGCCAGGAGAAGAACTATGGTGGTGATGGAGGAATGAGTCAGGGAGTCATGGAGGGAACGGTCCCTTCGGAGTGCTGAGAAGGGAGGGGAGGAAAAGATATGCTTAGTGGTTGGATCACTTTCCTTTCAAGCCTCTCCCTCCCAACATGCCCCAGTTCTGACAAAGGGTTGTGGACCCAAAACGTTGACTCACTTTTGTTTCTCCATAGATGCTGCCTGACCTGCTGAGTGTTCCCAGCAACTTCTGTTTTTGTTTTCAGATTTCTAGCATCTGCAGTATTTTACGTTTTACTAGCAACTAAATTGGTCTTGTTTATCAGTGTGCACTTTGTGCTCCCGAGCCAAGCACAAAATTAAAGCTTGACAAACGAGTCAGCTTTATCTCTGAATAGAAACAGAAGTTAAAAAAACTCACAGATTTCAGTTTGTAGGCTCCAATTTTGAAACGACAACAGATTACATCAACTGAGAAACCAACCAAGCGATGTAGCATGCCTAAGAAACAGACAAAGCACAAGTTTGAGCTTTAGATTTACTTTAAACAGAAATTCATGAAATTTCTTTTGGCCGAAGTATGATCGCTGCAGTTTAGTCAGGTCATTAAATCAAAAAGTGCCAGAAATGCAATCCTCAGAAATAATGCAGTCATTTGGGGCTTTCAAGTAACCGAGTAAACAGCAAATCACAAGAAGATCAGAATGTGAGAGCCACAACGCCTAAATTATATGACTTGCCTGTTGTTGAAAAGATTCCTCCAATAATTCCACAGAGTCTGACCAGGAACTGCCCCAGAGGCATGTGCTGCTCAGTCACCGTCACCATAAGAGAGCTGATGTCGTATTTCATGAAGATACCTGAGACTCCATGGCTGCCAGCGGCATGGTTTATCACTCGCTCCTGAGGACAGACACAATGCTCCATTTAACCTCACTCAAAGGAAGCCGTGAAGTATAGGAAAGATGGACAACATGAGAAAACACTTGGACTAAACTCAATTTTTGGGGAGGTCCAGTTAGGTCAGGAAACAGCCCAGCAGAACACCACCACCTTCCCAGCTAGAGAAAGTGTTGTTTTGATCAAGCAGCCCACAGGGGAAAAAAAATCTAAAAAAAAACTAAATAGCAAATGATTTTGTCATGAGTGTTATTTCACACTTTTCTGACAATAAACTAAAGGATGTTTTCATGTTTTGACTGGTAAAACGTGATGAGAATATCACGTTCATCATGTTACTTTGCTCTTATTCTCTTCAATACCTTACTCTCATGCATCACAGCTCAAAATGCTCTGCTCAGTTATGAATTTGGAAGGACAAAATGAGCCACACAGCCAAGTTGAAGATCCCATGACGTTATTTGAAAAGAGATGGGAATTTCTCTCTCAGTGTCCTAACGACCAATCCCCCAAATAACATTGGTCACTTAATTCATGGCTGTTTGTGGGACATTGCTGTGTGCTATTGTGCTGTCGCGTTTGCCTACAAATCACAGTCACTCCATTTCACAGTAAATCCTGTGAAGCACTTTGAGACGTCCTTCCGTATTATGCATACTTAATTACTCAAGAAAGATTAGTTTTTAAATTTTTTAAAAAATATTAAAAATGACAGCTAGAAATTACAATTGTAAAACACCATTGAGAATCACAAACCCTCGCCTTAAAACTGCTAAAACACTTCCCTGGATCTGTTCCCAGCTCACCAATGACATCACTGCAATGTTCAATACACATCTCAAATGACATAGATCTTGATTGTAAATTTGACTGAATGGAATGCAATTGAAATATGACGACATCTAAATCCAAGACACAAAATGCATAAAAAAAGAAAAACAATTATAGTTTACTCACCCGCTCTGTGACTGAATACTGATGAGTGTCTGCTGAGAATTTATGGGTGTTAAGTTTTGTTGGCACAATTGTGATAAAGTACTGGAACATCTGATTGTCTGTAAAAGCATTTCAAGGCACTGATTAAAAACATCATTAACTTGCATTTATATAATGCCCTCCACGCTGGCAGTGTCTCAGAGTGTTGAACAATGGTGGAGCCCGAGGCCGAACTAGGGGGAAGGTGAAGGTGACCATAGGCGCGGTCGAAGAGGAAGGTCTTCAGGCGCGTCCTGAAGATGGGGAAGGAGGGGGTGAGACAAAGAGGTTGAGGGAGGGAGTTCCAAAGTTTTGAGGCGTAGGGCTGAAGGCACGGCCGCCGATGGTGGAGTGGAGGATTCGGGGGACAGAGGAGGTCGGACCCGGTACAGCGCAGGCAGTGGGTACTGCTGTGGGGAGAGAGGTTAGAGAGATAGGGGACTGCCAAGGAATGGAGGGAATTAAACTAGAGTGAGGATCTTGAAGTTGATCCGCTCTGTGACAGGGAGCCAGTGGAGTTTGGAAAGGACTGGGGTAACCGGGGTGTGAAGTTTGGTGCGAGTGAGAATGTGGGTGGCCGAGTTTTGAATAAGCTGAATTTTGTGAATAGTGGAGGAGGGTAGACCAGCGAGGAAAGCATTAGAGTAGTCCAGCAGAGAGGTGACAAAGGCATGGGCAAGGGTTTTGGCAGCTTTTTGGAAGAGGTATTGTCGGAATCAAGTCTGACGTCTAAGTTGCGCACGGGTTCGGAGAGTTTTAAGGACAGGTCGGGTAGGTTGAGGAGGTCGAATTTGTGGAACAGAAGACATTGGCATGAGCCAAAAAGTATGGCTTCCGTCTTGTTGACGTTTAACTGCAGGAAATTTGTGCTCATACAGTTCTTGATGTCCAACAGACAACCTGACAGAACATCAGGGGACTGGGGGTCGCAGCTGGAGGTGGAAAGTAGATTTGAGTGTCATCTGCATACATGTTGAAGTTAACCTCATGTCTGCAGATGACATCACCGAGAGGGAGCATATAAATGATGAAGAGAAGGGGGCCAAGGATGGATCCTTGGGGTACCCTGCAGGTGACCGGGTAGAAGCGAGAAGAAAAGCCATTTGTAGAAATGTAGTGCTGGTAAGGTAGGATTCAAAGTGAGTGCGATCCCACTGAGGTGGATGACGGAGGACAGTTAGTGGAGGAGGATGGTATGATCGACTGTGTCGAACTCAGCGAATTAAGACATGAAAACTTGTCCCCACAATAACAACACAGTTTTGTTAACTGTTAATCCAACCAAAAGTAGACAAGGCTATTGGGGCAAAGGTGCGATTCGTCAAACTAATGTTCTAAAAACAGAGCATTATATTTTGAACACGTAACTTCAGGCAGAAGTGAAGCGATTATCCAGATTCTTTCTGAGTTCTTTTTGAACATCACATTTCCCAATTGTTTCTTGGCCAATGGAGTTTACACAATATCTTTTCTGATACAATTGATCTGGAAAGTATTCATGTTGTTTTATCAGCTCTTTTTGAAGAATTGCAGCCTCCTGGTCAGAATTCTTACCAAAGTCAGGAGAATACAAATTGCATGGCAACCAGGAGTTCTTACTAATGCCATAATTTCACAGCATATGAGAAGATGCGAGACCTCAAGCTAAAAGAGTAAAAAAACTAAAATTCACACCAACTTTCAGAGTAAGGCAACATGAACAGTCACCTGCAGCCCCTCTCATACTATGCATAAAATCAACACTGTTTAATGTTTTTATAAATAAATAAAACTTACGATCTATTGCTATTTTTTCCGTTCCATCCAGTGGATTGATAATTCCTGGAATTGGTTCTCCAAAAGAAAAATGGTCTATTCGATGTGAAAAGTTGTACACTAAAAACAAACACAGTAAATTGTTATAAAGGACTACAGCAGAGGATTTGTATGGGGAACATTTCAAAATAATAATTCTTGCATTTGATATCTTATCCTCAATGACCTTATCACGTCGTTGAGACATCTCAAAGTGCTTCACAGAATATATTATAAAGTAGATTTTATTGTGTATTTTGTGGGAGAAATGAGGCAGCCAATTTTTCAAAGCAGTGTCCCATAATCAGTCGTGCATTGAGGGATTATATCCCCCGGAAAGTGATTTGCCAATCAACTAACAACTGGGTTCCTACTTACTGTTAGGTAAGCAGAGGAGTGTGAAGTAAGAAAACTTGCCTAAGGTTTCGCTACCAGCCACCCCTCCCCATCCCCACCCCCCAAGAATCAAACCCGGGTCTTCTCGCTTGTTATCCTCTACGCTACGGTACTCCACAAATGCTTGCTGCGTGTACTTCACAAAGTGCACTAGTCCTGTAAGTATTTTTAAACAAAGATTGCTCTCACATTGGAAACAAAGCATTCAGAAAAGTTATACATTCCTGAGACAATTTGCTCACAGATTGAAACTAAACTGGGAACTCAAGGGACAATTGCACGAGCAGCAGTATTTGTTCACATCAGGTGTTATTTTTCTGAGATGATTTTTTTCAATTAAAAAATTCTTATTAAAACTGTTTAAGATAGTCTGGAACTGCACCACAGCTGCTAAATTCTACTGGGGTGGTGTTGGCTAGAATCATATTTCTACACTACTATGCACAAGCAGCCTAAATAGGAACATAGGAATAGGAGTAGACCATTTAGCTTCCTGCTCTTGCAGTGAACTGGAAAAATTCACCAATTTCGCTTCCACCTTCCACCCCTCCATAACATTCGCATGGTCCATCTCCGACTCTTCCCTTCCTCAACTTCATCATTTCCATCTTGGGACATAGATTATCAACAAACATCTTTTACAAGCCCACCAACTCCCACGGCTACCTGGATGGACTATAACTCTTCCCACTTCCTGTAAAGACTCCATTCCCTTTTCTCAGTTCCTCCGCCGCATCTGCTCTGACGATGCCACCTTTCACATCTGAAATGTCCTCCTTTTTCTTCGACCAAAGATTCCCACCCACTGGTAGGCAGAACCCTTGACTGCGTCTGCCCTATTTCCCACACCTCTGACCTCACCCCTTCCCCTTCTTCCCAGAACCGTGATAGGGTCCCCCTAGTCATCACCTCCCACCCCACTAGCCTCAACATCCAACAAATAATTCTCCGCCATATCCGGTACCTCCAGGGTGATCCAATTACCAAACTTATTCCTTCCCCTCCCTTCTCAGTATTGCAAAGTGACCGTTCCCTCCGTGACTCCCTGGTTCATTCCTCAATCACCAACATCAGTTGCTCTCCTCCCCAGGCACCTTCCCATGCCAGTGTAGTAGATGCAATACCTGCTCTTTTACCTCCTCCTATACCACTGTCCAGGGCCCCAAACACAGATTTCAAGTGAGATGTGTACTACCACCATTCGCTGCTCACGATGGGGTCTCCTCTACATTGGGGAGACCAAATGCAGATTGAGTGACCAATTTGCCAAACACCTCCTTTCTGTCTGGAAGCACAACCCTGAGCTTCCAGTTTCTTGACACTTTGACTCGCTCTCCCACTCACACTCCGACCTCTCCATCCATGGTCTCCTACACTGTTCCAATGAACCACGGCGAAAGCTCGAGGAACAGCACCTCATCTATCTGCTAAGGACCTTACAGCCCTCTGGCCTCAATATCGATTTCAATAATTTCAGACCATAGCAGCTCACCTTCCCCCTCCCCCTCTTCTGTGACCATTACATCAGCTTGGTCCTAGACACACCTTTTCTCTCTCTGGTCTGCCTATTTTGTTGCAATTTCCTCCTTTGTTCTGCAGTATTAACACACCTTTTCCTCTGTTTTTTTGCAATTCCCTCCCTTTGTTTTGCATGATTAACACCTCTTTAACCCATCATCTCCTGTCGTCTACCCCATTTTCTCCTTTGTCTTCTTTGCCCTGCCACCCCACTATCTGTTAGCCCTTAAAAGCTTCTCCCTCCCAGCATGCTCCAGTTTTGATGAAGGGTCGTGGACCCAAACTTTGACTCACTTTCCTTTCTCCATAGATGCTGCCTGACCTGCTGAGTGTTCCCACCGATGCCTGTTTTTTGACTCAGCATTGGTTTCTACTTCTCTGTCACTGACCATTTCAAGATTTTGCATTAAAAATTTCTCTTTATTTAAGGTTGATCCATCAAGATTAATTCAAGTCCTTGAAAACAACAGCACTTGCAAAACTACCTTTAGCTTATCAGGTTTTGCTGCACCTTTACTTGTATGGCAGAGCAAATGGAAGCTGCTTAAATTACAGGGCAAACAGCATCTCCTTGTAGCCAAAAGCTTAACAACAGTATTGTAAAATTGGACAAAGCTTGTGAACGTTATGCAAATTTGCCAGCACTTACCATCATGACTGACAAGAGCTGCCATATGGGCGTGCCCTCGAGGGTGTGGAATTGCCCTGAAAGTGCAGAGAAAATTTCCATCATAATTCTTAGATAAACCAATAAAGCACAACTACATCTTTGACACCAACAACACACATCACCTTCACAGGCTCAAACCCTAAATCCCATTTGCATGAACCAATAACGTTATGCCATGTCTCATTATGACCATACATTAGGCAATATAAAATGAACATTGAAATCCAATTCCAGTGTCAGTAAATTCCATCATTACCTGCAGTTACACAGAAAATAAATCATAATAGTGAAAACAAAAACAGAAGTCCCTGGGAACACTCAGCAGGTCAGGCAGCATCTATGGAGAAAGGAAAGTGAGTCAACATTTCGGGTCCACGACCCTTTGCCAGAACCGGGGCATGTTGGGAGAAGATGCTTTTAAGGGCTTAAAAGCGAGTCCATGTTCTGAGAGCGTTCGGTTTTTCATGTGAATGTTGTGGTTTACAATCCGGCAAACCCACATTATAATAAAACAAGCTCCCCATTAATCCTCCAACAACATTGATTTAACCCTTTTTTTGCATCAGAGTTAACAGTCAAAAGAATGTACGTACTTGCCCACTGTTATATGAAAATTTCCTGCTACCTTGTTGACATGTAAGTGTCCATGTATCCTACATGCATCATATGGCTTCGATAGATCTTCTTCCCTGACAAAAATAAGAGCAATCAATATTTGTCGAGGTTACAGAGTACGCATGTACCTCATCACACCACAAATACACCAATGTTTTTACAGAACACTATTTACTGAAGTTGTGCAACAACAACAACAACAAGATTCCATTTATAGAGCGCCTTTCACGTCGGGAGGACGTCCCAAGGCGCTGTACAGTTGGGTCAGGACCCAAGCAGGGGGGAAATGGTCAGGGTGAGGGGAGGGAGCGAGGAGGGGGTAGAGTGGAGAGGGGAGCTGAAGGCACGGTCAAAGAGAAAGGTCTTCAGACCGGCCTTGAAGGAGGAAAGGGAGGAAGCAAAGTGAAGGCACTGGGGGATAGAGTTCCAGAGCCTAGGGGCTGAGAGGCTGAAGGCCCGGCCACCGATGATAGGGCAGTTGGGGCGGGGGATGTGGAGTAAACCGGAGCCAGAGGAACGGAGGGTACGGGCAGGTAGGTAGGGGGATAGTAGGTCGGAGAGGTAGGAGGGAGCAAGGCCGTGAATGGCCTTGTAGGTGAGGGTGAGGATCTTGAATTCGATCCTCTGGGGGATGGGGAGCCAGTGGAGGCGAGCGAGGGTGGGAGTGATGTGGTCCCGATGCCTGGTGCGGGACAGTACACGAGCTGCAGAGTTCTGAATGACCTGCAGCTTGTGGAGGGAGGAGCCGGGAAGGCCGGCGAGGAGAGAGTTCCCATAGTCCAGCCTTGAGGTGATAAAGGCGTGGACCAGAGTTTCAGCTGCGTGAGGGGTGAGGTAGTGCTGTAGTCTGGCGACATTCCGGAGGTGATGGAAGGCGGTGCCAGTTGTGGTGCGGATATGAGGGAGAAAGGACAGCTCAGGGTCGAACAGAACCCCGAGGTTCCTGACCGGCTTTGAGAGGTGGAGAGTGCAGCCTTGGATGCTGATGCTGTCAGCGCCTGAGGTGCGGAGGCGCTGACGTGAGACAATCAGGAGGGCCTCAGTTTTGCGCACGTTGAGCTGAAGAAAGTTATCTCTCGTCCAGGACTCGATGTCGGACAGGCAGACTGTCAGGACATCGGTGGTCGTGGAGTTGAGGGTAGAGGAGGAAACGGTGAAAGAGTTGGGTGTCATCCGCATACATGCGGAAGTTAACCTCATGTCTGCGGATGATGTCACCAAGGGGGAGCATGTAGAGCCCCAAGAATAAAAATCTTATTAAGTATTAACAAAATAAAGCTCAGTTCAGTGGCTCTCAGTTGGAAGGAAAGGAAGTGAACCACCTGGTTTGTTATCTCACCACCTCGCCTTTAAATCCCTCCATGGTCTCACCCCATCCTACCTCTGCAAGCCCCTAACTGTTTTACTGATTTTAATCTCCAGGATTCGGGTAGCTCTGCAATTCTCCCCAAATCCAGACAAACTGCAGAATGTCCCCACCTCCTGTAACTAATATCCACATGGCACAAGTCCTTGCTCATAGAACAAGCAGCACAGAAGGGCTAAAGTTCTTGTTCTGACTCTTAGAATGCTTTGAGAAATAGATGCATGTATTGTCCAACCCCAATCATGTAATTTTAAAGTACCTCAATAATTGGCCCTATAATCAAATTGCAATTTACAGAAGTCTTTTTGGGGTCAGCTGGGTGTCTGACACGTCACTGAGCTTAAGAATTTCTAAACAAGATAGAATTCTCCACGTTTGCTACATAAGCATGGAGGTTTGCATGCACGTGGAATAGAATGTGCAATCTCGCCCTAGAAGGAAGGGCGCAGCACATTTTTTTGATTCCAGAGTCCTGCAGCTCATTTTTCGCATTCCAGAGTCTTGCAGCTCACTCGCCTCACAAGCGAGAGACCTGGGAGGTTTCTCGCTTGCGAGGCGAGTGAGCTACAGGATTCCCGGAAGGGTGAAATGTTGGGCAAGTTTCCTTACTCCACACGCCTCTGTTTACCTAGCACTAAGTAGGAACCCGGTTGTTAGTTGATTGGCGGATTGCTTTTCCGGGGGGTAATAATTCTTTAAAAAAATTATAATAATAAATTAGTCACTTCAATCCACAACTATTTGTGGGACACTTAATTCCTAAAAAAAATTATAATAAATTGGTCATTTCAATCCACAACTGTTTGTGCGCAATTGGCTGCCCACAAAATATGCAGTTCATTCACTTTACAGTATATTCTGTGAAGCGCTTTGAGACGTCTCAAAGACGTGATAAGGCGCTATATCAAATGCAAGGATTATTATTATTACAAGGCGCATGTTGACAAGAGCAAAGGCTTGGGAAAGCCAGAGCATGTGTTGGGTGCTTAAAAACAGGTAAAACTTGCCTTAGCATCATCTGCTAAGCTTTGTGTTGCTCAACCAACTTGCATCAGCATTAACTGCAATTAGCGTTCACATACCTGTGGGGCAATGCTGTAGGAAAGCCTTTAAAGACACTTTTGAATAAAAGATCTTGCAGTGAATGTTCCTCTTGGACTTTTCTGCGAACCTTTTCAAGCGCTCTAAAGAAACAGTATTTTTGGGGTATTTAAATCTGTGCAACAAGTTCATTACCAGGTCAAACCATTTAATCTCACAGAACATCTTTCAAATTGCTCAACAACCAGTGGTATTTTGATTAGGTGATTCACCACACTTAACTCTTTATCTTTTAACACCTTTTGCAGCTATGAATTTCTTTTCTAAAGGCTGCAAATGCTTCTTTTATGTTACCAGCTTGTTTATTTTACACAAGCTAGTAACATAAGCTTGTTATTTTACATGGGTATTTCATCAGTTCTTCTTCTGATCGCAGATGCAATGCTGAACCACCTGAGCAATAGGAAAGGTATCTTTTTGACTCAGATTTCCTTGGAGCCGAACTGCCTCCAAGGTGTCATGTTTGGCAACAGAATGTTGAAATCGAACCAGCCCTTTGTGGCAGTCTCAGGAGTCCGGTTCCTGAGCCAGTCAGTTCGCAGTTATCTGGGGCTCTGCTACTGACAGCAAGTCAGCCTAGTTCATCGGCAGAACTTGGGAAGGGCTTTTGACTAAGGGTATACCATATGTCAGTCTTTTGATCCATTCCTGTTTACAAACAATTTGCATCTCTACCTCTGCCATTTCATGATGCAGACCACTTGAAATCAGCAACTTGTCACTTTTAAATCCTTTAACCCTTCAATATGGTTTACATTTCTTGCGAGGTCAGTGTATTTAATAATAACTTATCGATATTAGATTTATTCACTGTGGTACTCTTGAATGTTTGAGTCCGTCATTTTGTGATTGAAAAGTACTATAAAGTTTGTATTAGTAAGGTTGGACTTACCTCTGCCACCTTCTTTGAGATGGAGACAATTCAAACATAGTCTGAAGTTAAAAAATAATATCCGTAAGTACAGTATTACCCACTTTTTCACCAAATTAAGCAGAATTAAGGTGGTCACAACCCATTATTCTCTTCACTTCCAATTAAATCTGCAGTTATCAATCTTCAGTAAGAGTACTTCAGACCCAATTAACAGTATACTGCATTTCCATCTTCTTACAATTTATATCAAAAATAAAACTTAAGAGTAACAAAGAATCTGCTCCCTCACTTTACAGAGGTGAAGCACTTAACCATTTTAATGGAATCTCAACAGTATGTTTCTGAAGGCAGGCCGATCCTAACGTACAATTTCTGAGCTAACAAAGACATAAAAAACACTTTTTTGATTCTGTTTACTAATATTCTCCTATACAGCAAGAGAAACGTGCACCTCAGTGATCCTAGTATCCAAACAATATAAAATCCTTCTGGTCAGAATTAACTGAAAGTTCAATAAAGTTTCCTTAAAATTCATGCATAAACAAATAGCTGGGGAGACATTTGTATAGCGGGGTAAAGACAACAGTTTCGCTTCCTGATCTCTGTTCATTAGGCCCTGCTGAAAAGTATACACAAGAATATATTGAAGGACAGGGTCAGGCTCAGTTCTGAGCCTCATCCTCAAATTGCCAGACAACATTCACTGTCACATACATATAAATTGCCACTGTATCATGTAGCAACACGTTCTTGCAGTGAAGAGCATGATTTAACAATTCGCCTTAATCTCTCATTTCAGTCCCAAGGCCAAGAAATAGACTTCAATTGTTAACTTTCGACTCCGGTGAGTTATTTTACATCTATAAGCAAATAGTTTGAAACCCAAAAGGTGGGAAGTGCAAGTCATAAAGAAACTGTTGATTTCAGAAAACAAACCAATTACTCTGCTAACAAGATATCACACGATTAGTTACATTATTCCTCCCTNAAAAAATTGAATTAAATTTGCCTAGTTCTTGAACAATTGCTACATCCCAAAATCTCAAAGAATACTCTTGTCCTGAAGCACATTTTAGAATTATACGTACTGGTTCATATTTCAACCCCTCTGAAGCTGCCATCATTGTTTCTGCTAAATCTAAGACATCCGCCCCAATATCTGTTCAAAAGAAGACAGGCAATTAGATGCTCACCACAGAATATCTTATTAACTTAGAATTAACTTCAATAAAAAGAATATTTGGAAATTAGTATGAGCGATATTTATGTAAAAGGACACATTCTACTAACCAAAAATATTACAATTCATTCAATGATAATTCTTTGCATTTACATTATTCATTCATTAACTCAACAAAAAAAATAAAGATTTGGACAACAAACATTAATATAAACGTGTTAAATTAATCAAATTCTAAAGTAGCCTGCAACAATTTGCATTTATTTTGCGCCCTTCAAGCAAGCAGCTCCTTGGAGCGCATTCGCAAACTGTACTTACAGCCTTGACTCGTATTTAGTCCCGAACATGAGGTAGTCTCTTCAATCGGGCCTTCAGCTCCCCTCTCGAATCTCTACCCCCTCCTCACTCCCTCCCCTCACCCTGACTATTTCCCCCCTGCTCGGGTCCCGACCCAACTGTCCAGCGCCTTGGGACATCCTCCCGACGTGAAAGGAGCTCTATAAATGCAATCTTGTTGCTGTTGTAGTCAGTCAAGTAAACTAGATTCAGAGGATTATAATAATCATTGTCTATCTACACTAATAAACATATAATGTTTGCTGATCTGTCCGTCAAAAACTCAATAACCGATTGGCATATAGACATGATTTATACCACATCAGCAAGGTCTTCATATGGGGGAGTGTCACAGGCACTTTTTTTGGCATCACACTTATGGCAGTTTTGCTTAAGGTGTGCACACAGGGCGTATGGCATGTAAAGTGGTTTGTGACTTGTATCACTGAAAACGCCAGTTCTAACAACGACCATACAAAAATTATTGAGTCGGTATCTGCAATCATTTTGCTTAAGGTGTACACGCAGCCTTTATGGCATGTTAAATGATTTGTGAGTGGCATCACTGAAATCTACATTCCAGATTGGATCCTTTGGTTGCAAGCATAGCTGCAATGGGTACAGCTAGAATTGCATTCTCATGCTGTCAAGAGCATCAAAGCGCTTTGCAGGATTTACTGAGAAGAGAAGTGACAACATCAACGAGGCAACTAATCTGCACTTAGCAATGTCCCACATACAATCCCAAAGTGAAAAAACAGCTGTATTTGGGGGATTGTCGGCCAGCACACCTGGAGAAATTCCTTTCTCTTCAAATCATGCTGTGGCATCTTCGCTTTAGGCGCAATTGAACATATTACATATTCAGACTAATGCAGTGGCCCCTCCACTCCTACCATAGGTAAAGCCTACCCTTCCTCTTCCCCATAATGGAACATCTTGCCCCTGCCTCCATTCGTCCCCACCTAGAGTGCAGTCCATGCTTCCGCTGCTACACACCGAGGGCACAGGTGGTACAATGATAATAATCACCAAAATCAGAGACATGATCAGATTGCCATTCTTTGTAAGCCTTCAAACTGACATAAGCCTGGCTCAGTTGGAAGCAGGATCATCTCCGAGTTAAACGTTCGTGGATTCAAGCCCACATCAGGACTTTGAAATCATAGCCTAGGCTGATACAGTGCTGTGGCATGCTTCATTGTCAGAGTTGTCATACACCTGGGGTCCCAGCTGCATGTGTTGAGGTGGAGGTTAAAGATCCCATGGAATATGCGAATAGAGAACAAAGTTTTGGCCAGTGACCCCCCAAATAAAATTGGTCACTCATTTCATGGGTGCCATGTTTACCTATAAATACAGTCATTGCACATCAAAGTAAAACCTGTGAAGCCCGTTGAGACATCTCACGACATGACAAGGTACTAAATCAAACGCAAATATTATTATTATATCTTATTGCTTGCTCTCGAACATGTAAATCTGTTGCTGGAAGTCGGGATTTTCCTATTCTGTTACCGTTAACCCTGTAATCCAAAGTCTGAGCAGGTCGGGTGGTCCAAGCTGGAGGAGTGGGAAACTAGCCAGATAGTGTTCTGAATGGAAAGCTATGCAGTTTTAGAACATTAAACTGCAGCAGGATCCCAACAACAATGATAATTCTGCATTTATATAGCACCTTTCATGCAAGAGCCTTTGCTCTTTCCAACTTGTGTCAAATGAACTCCGGAATTCAGTAAAAGAGAACAGCTTGTATTCCACTTGAAAATTTACATATGTGGATGGCATACTTATGCGGAACCCTGCCCGATTTGGATAGAATGGTGTTAGCTTTCCATGCGTACCAGATCCCCAGCTGACTTAAACACATGTGAGTTCACTTGCATATACTGATGTACTGCAATCAGTTTCAATTGCAGACTCATATGTACGAGTCTCACACGGAATAATGAAGGTTATTTACTTCAATACATACAAAAGAACAAAATATCAAGAGTGTAAAGTACTTACAATGACATTTCATTGAAACGGTAATATCTAAATTGATTCGCAGTTTACTGCAAGAGAAAAAGAATAATTAAACTGTCTGTAATAAAACATCACTTTGCATATTTGATAAAAACATAAGGATTGGACTTCTCAAAAGAATCCCATTACCTGCCTCACTACTGAGACTCCACTTAAAACATTTGAAAAACGAGTCCTTACAATTCTAACAAAGATCTTTGTGATATCTTTATCCTTTTCTCTTGCTTTTGAGCACTGACACATTTCCTGCAGCAGCAGGGTTATGAATGATTTTTTAATAGGCCTTTTTAATAGAAACTCTTCTTTAATTTCACTGCCACATTCGCCTCACCTTGAATAAATCCAGGTGCTGAATCCAGCCTGGGATTTTCTGCTCACAGAGCTGAGTGCATGGATTTGAACAAAATTTTAGTGACTGATGTTCAGTATGCTTGAAGGATACTGAGGCAGCTGAACATTCCAACAGAATATCAATGATAACTGCAGAGTGCAACATCAGGGAAATGAATTTAACTATGAAATCTGTTAAGAGGTTTTGTTACGTTTTCTATTTTTACATCTCTTTTTTCTCATTTACTTCCAAATGTCAGCATATTTGGTATCATCCTCGCCTATGATTCCTAAGGCTGTAGGCTTCTCTCTTCAAGTTGGGACTTTGAACACAAAGGCTAGGCTGGTCTCCAGGGCCAGGTTGGAGGAACACTGTTTTGCTGGAGATGCCTTTATACAGATGAGACTTTAAACTGAGGTCCTGGCAGTGTGTTAAGGTGGAAGTTGAAGATCCTGCAGCAGTATTCAAAAGGAGTATCTCACAGTGTGTTAACCTGGCCAACAATCCCACAGATTAAAAAAAAATAGTTGCTGCATTTGCTAACGTATACAATCACATGCAGTTTATAGGAAATCCATCCCCCAGAGGATTGAGTTTAAGATCCTCATCCTCTTTTAAAGCCCTCCTTGGTCTTGCCCCTCCCTACCTCTGCAATCTACGAAAACCTTACCAACCCGGGCCTCTGCCGGCTGTTTATCCAACGCTACTGTCGGCTGCTCCAGACGCATGTGCGCTGCGCGGCCAAGCAGGAAATGGTCTTTGCTCCACACGGAGGCCCCGCTGTTGTGATTGTCTGTGTGTCTCTGTGTGTGTCTATGTGAGCATGTCTGTGTATGTCTCTCTCTATGTGTGTGTGTTTGTTAGTGGAGTCCTGTGGCTCAGTGGTTAGAGCACTCGCTTTGCAAGCGAGAGACCTGAGTTCAATTCCAGGCAGGGCGAAAGCTTGGGCAAGTTTCCTTACTCCACACAGAGCCTAATAATAATCCCTCCAAAAGAAAACAATAATAAATTGGTCATTTTCAATCTACGACTGTTTGTGGGACATTGCTGTGCGCAATTGGCTGCCACGTTCGCCCACAAATATGCAGTCAATTCACTTTACAGTGTGTTCTGTGAAACGCTTTGGGACGTTCTCCCGACGTGAAAAGCGCTATACCAAATGCAAGGATTATTATTATTATTATAGTGTGTCTGTCTGTCTTTCTGTGGGTGTGTGTCTCTCTCCTCTTTATGTGTTTGAGTGTCTGCATGTGTGTAACTGTGCTTCTTTTTCTGTGTGTGTCTCTCTCTCCTCTGTATGGGTGTCTTGTGAATGTGTGTGCGTCTCTCTTTTCTGCATGTATATGTTTGTGAGTCTATCTGTGACTCTTCTATATGTGTGTTTATAAGCGTCTGTGTGAATGTGTCTGTCTTTCCTGTGTCTGTCTCTTGCCTTTGTCTGTGTACATGTGTCTCTCCCTGCGTCTGTCTCTCTCTCTCTGCACCTATGAGTGTCTCTCTCTCTGCACCTGTGAGTGTCTCGCTCTCTCTGCGCTTGTGTGTCGCTCTCCGTTTGCGCCTGTGTGTCGCTCTTTCTGCACCTGTGTGTCTCGCTCACTCTACGCCTGCGTGTCGCTCTCTCTGCACCTGTGTGTGTCTCTCTCTCTGCGCCTGTGTGACTCCCACTCTGCATCTGTGTGTCTCTCTCTCTGCTGATTAAATATTTCTACAGTTTTCTATTGGTCTGGTCTTGACTCACCCCTGGGCAGGCTGAACAGATTGCTTGTGTTCTCCCAGTGGGGAGATTCAACTCACAGTACGGCTGAGCACCAGCTCAATTCCTATTTATAGGATATTTCAACAATGTTTGAAATAACTCTGCAGTTCTTCCGAATAAATTAAGGATTAAAACATCACAAATTTGTGGAGGACAAAATTGGCATTCTAAATTGAATATCCAAGCTATGACAGTGGATGTCATTATCAAACCTTCTCAGAGTCTTCACTTGTTTCCAAGACTCAGAATTCAGTGGACAACTGCCGCAAGAAACTCAAAGAAAAGTAGGTCATCGAGCATTCTCTGTGTTGTACTGTCATTGGTTTCAAATGCACAACTGATATATGGAGGGGGAGGGAGATTTTGGAAATGAATGCAGGTAATCATTGTAGCAAGACTGTTCCAGAAAGCAAAGGTTTGGAGAAACATCTCAGATAAATTTACATGTAAATTTACATGCAACCTCAATTGAATTCTTCATAAACTACCCACCCAATCCAACTAGTTTTTCAAAAGAAACGACCAGCTAGATGAACCATAATACTGTTTTCCGAATGCGTACCATTTGTTTCTGTCCTGGAGCATCCAGCACTTTTAATTAAATATAATAATAAACCTCACATTTCCTCTAAGGTTATATCATTGAGTAGAGACATCTCAAAGCTCTTCACAAAATTTTACTGTGAAATATAGTTACTGTACATTTGTTGGCAAATGCTGCAACTAATTTGGGGCACAGCAATGTCCTATAAACTGCCATGAAGTGAATCCCCAGTTTGTATCTGGAGGATTGTTGGCCAGGACACCAGAAAAACTCCCTTCACTTTTTGAATAGTGTCATAGGATCTTTAGCCTGAACAGGTAGACAGAACCTCGATTTATATAAATGTCTCTATTTAATAAATTCGTCACTTCAATCCACTACTGTTTGTGGGACACTGCTGTGCGCAATTGGCTGCCATGCTACGCCCACAAAATATAGAGTCAATTCAATTTACAGTATATTCTGTGAAGCGCTTTGAGATATCTCAAAGACGTGATAAGGCGCTATATCAAATGCAAGGATTATTATTATTTATATAAATGATCTGGATTCTGGAATAAGGGGCACAATTTCAAAGCACTCAAATGACACAAAAGTAGGGAGTGTAGCTAATATTGAAGATTGTAAATTACCTCAGAGGAACATAAACAGACTGGTGGAGAAATGTCAAGTGAAATGTAATGCAAACAAATATGAATTAACATATTTTGGGAGAAGAAAAGGATAGTATGTCAGATGGTAAAATATAAAAAGGAAAAGCACGAGACACTCAGTGGTGAAACAACATAATTCCTTAAAGGTGGGAAGGCAGGTGGACAAAGCTGTGAAGAAAGCAAATGGAATCCTAGGTTTTATAAATAGGGATATAGAATATAAAAGCAAAGAGATAATGTTAAACTATGCAAATGTGGAGTTCTATAGCTCAGTGGTTAGAGCACTCGCTTTGCAAATGAGAGACTCGAGTTCAATTCCAGGCAGAGGGCGAAACCTTGGGCAAGTTTCCTTACTCCACACAGAGCCTAATAATAATCCCTCCAAAACCAAAAATAATAAATTGGTCATTTTCAATCTACGACTGTTTGTGGGACATTGCTGTGTGCAATTGGCTGCAGCGTTCGCCCACAAATATACAGTCAATTCACTTTACAGTATGTTCTGTGAAGCGCTTTGGGACGTCCTCCCGACGTGAAAAGCGCTATATCAAATGCAAGGATTATTATTATTATTAGGTGGTTGTGACAGAATCCATATTACGCACAGCTTTAAAAGGGGGACAAAATAAATACTTAAAAATAATAATAATAATCCTTGCATTTGATATAGCGCTTTTCACGTCTTCTCGACATCTCAAAGCGCTTCACAGAATAGACTATAAAGTTAATTGACTATATATTTGTAAAAAGGATGAAGCTACAGAGGTATGGGGAAAAGGCAGGAAATTGGAACTGAAAGGATTGCTTTTAAAAGAGCCAGCACAGACACACCAGGCTGAACGACCTTCTGTGCTGTAAATTTCTATGGTTCTTTTCCAATCATGTGAGTGGGAACTTGGGTGCCCAGTGTCATGGGACCCAGCCTGTCCCTCTATCACTTGACGAAAACACTCATCAGTCTACTTGAACACCTTGTTATGCACAGTTTGTAAATTTTTAGTATTTCAGGCCAAAATGTCATTTCTGAGTGGAAGTATAATCATACTCCTTGCATTTAACATTGCGCCATTCACACCAGGATGGCGTCCCATTCACGATCAAGTATTGTGACAGTCTATTTTGTCGGCAAATGCAGTAGCCACAGCAATGAGGTGGACAAACAATCATGATGTATAGAAACAACAAAAGAAAAACCCAACTTTCCTACTAGTTGAAGACTTCAAGCCAGTCAGGAACCTAGGTGTCTTGTTCGACCCTCAACTGTCTTTTCTCCCCCACATTTAAGCCATGACCCGCACTGCCTTCCCTCACCTCCGTAACATTGCCTGACTCTGCCACTACCTCACCCCTCAGGCCGCTGAATCTCTTGTTCATGCCTTCATCACCTCCAGGCTCGACTATGCAAACGTCCTGCTTGTCGGCCTTCCCAACTCCTCCCTCCACAGGCTGCAGATAATCCAGAACTCTGCAACCCGTGTCCTCTCCCGCACCAAACTCTGTGACCCCATCTCCCCCACTCTCGCCTGACTCCATTGGCTCCCTATTCTTCAGAGGATCCAGTTCAAGATCCTGGTGCTCGTATACAAATCCCTCAATGGCCTCGCCTCACCCTGCCTCTGCGACCTCCTAACCCCCTACCAATCCGCCCATTCCTTCCGCTCAGCCAGCTCTGGCCTGCTCCACATCCTCCAACCCACCCGCCCCACCATTGGCAGGAGAGCCTTCAGTCATTCTGCCCCCAACCTCTGGAATTCCATCCTCCAGTCACTCCGCCTCATCTCCTCCTTAGCCTCCTTCAAGTCCCGCCTCAAGACCCTCCTCTTCGACCATGCCATCGGCCGCCCCTCTTCCCCTACCCTCCCTCCCCCCACCCCCAGCTCGGGTCTGAAAAGCTGTACTCTGTTCGGCGCCTTGGGACATCCTCCCAACGTGAAAGGCACTATACAAATGTAATCTTGTTGTTGTTGTTCAACATAACTTCCTCCCTTCAAATAAATTGGGCCAGTATTTTGCAATGAAACTTCTGAGCCCACATTTCCTTCTTTACAAAATTTATATAAAGATTTACAGCCAAAGTCTTCATATTGCTTTCACATTAACTAGTATCTAAAGCAATCAAAACAGAAACATAAATCAGTAAACATCAGCAAACATTTTATTCAAGTCATTGGAAGAAAATAATGGATTTAATAATGTGAGATCTGCTCTAAGCTATCTACTTCTAGTGTCTCAATATCAGATTGTTATTATGTCCTACAAACTAATGACACGACTCCCACATCAAGAACAGTTAAAAATCAAATAGTTACCTGGAAAAGTCTTTGTCTACTTCGTAATCATACTTCATCCATGTTTCTCGGTACACAAAGAATTCCATTATAGATAACAGAGCTATGATGCCAAAAGCAATTAGAGAAACTGAAAACAAAGAAATGTGTTTCATTATTTGAATGCATATTAAGACACAAAATAGTATTTTTTAAAAATAGCTCTACATACATTTTTGTCACAAAAAAAACGCATAACATGAATATTTTAATACATCAGAAATGACAGCATCAAAGTGAATGCCTGCACTTATTCCTTCCTAGTCCTCACTTATTCCTTCCTCTAGTTCAAATAACAAATTGTGCTTTTCAGGTATAGAAAATGCATGGAAGTGCTTCACATTGAAGGAGTGGAACCTCAAGCAGAGTGGGAGTCTGGGGATCAGGGAGTCTGAGGATCAGGAGAAAATATACTCAAGATGTTGTCAAAGAGGTATGTTTTCAGGGGATTTGCAAGTCGGAGGAAATGTGCAAAGTGGAGGTATTGAGAGTTCCACAGCTCAGAGAAAAGGTGGCTGAAGGATCTTCCACCAATGATGGAATGTGCGACATGGAACAGACTGATAAGAGAGGGTGGGGTGGAATGCAGGAGATCACACAGATAGGGTTGGGAAAAGTAATGAGACATTTGATTTGAAAGTAAAATTGCGATTTTAAAATCAATCCTCTGGGATTAGTAAAACAGTGAAGCTTGGTGAAAATCAGGTCGATGAGCTTGTGGAGCCTTTCATGGGAAATGAACAACTACAAAGGGCAGAGGAGGGCACTGGAGCAGTCAGTTGTGACTGTAAGGCTGAAGTAAGAACAGAGGCAATTATTGTTGTGAAGATGGAGGAATGTGGACTTGATTAAAGCTTATAGGAAAGCTGGTAAGCAAGAGGCCGAGATTTCACTGGCTCCATGAGCTGCAGTGACCTGGAGGGCTCAGTGATGAGTTATCAGTAACGGCGAGTTTGGCATGAACAGGCATATTGGGCAGTAAACTCCTGATAACTCTACCCTGGTTTAACTTTCACTGCCACTTAAGTTGTCATGCTGTCAACATGCCAGCCTTATTTATACATATGCCTACCTCGCCATACCTGGAACTCATCACTGAACTGTTTCCCCTCGGTAAGACAAGTTATCAGGAATTTATTGTACATAAATATTGTAAAACTGTATTGCACATGAGGGAAGCAAATGGTAAAACCATATTTGTTTCCCTCATAAAACCCTTGTGTGCTTCCCTCACAGTTCCCTCCACTGTATCCATTAGGTTAATTTTCCCTCAGTTAACACCCACACTTACTGTTCTACAAATTAGAATGTACAATGCTTTTTACTTAAAAAAAGCATGCCTGAAAATACAGTCAACCTCCAGTCAACCACTCTTAATGCTCATGCAAATGATATTCTGGGAATACAGCACCTGTTCCACCACTTGTTGAAGTTTCAACGTAACTTTCAGGGATTTTGGGGAAAGCATCCAGCTCTCTCATTAAATTCAACGTCTTCTTATTTATTCGTTTCATTTTCAAAAATACATGAAGAGGCCGTCACTTCCAGCTTCACAAATCAAGTCTGCAAACATATTAAATTCCAGTTAAGGCAATGACCAGAATAAATGTACCAACAATGACTAGGTAGAAAGGCCCATGTGAATTATAAACATCAACAGAATCTCACAATGAAATTATAGTGCTCCGGGACGCTATCCCACGGGAAGGGTGCTTTATAAATGCAAGCTGTTTTGACAATCTTTCCGCAAAATGGAATACATGCCAAGTAGTTTTAATGTATTTTCTAAGAAAGGAAGCAAGCCTGAACATACACCAAACTGATGGATTGAACATTAATAAACGTGCATTCACTCCTGAGGTTGGGTCCAAAGTGCTCGAGTTCACAACATTGTGTCCATAAGAATGAATAGTGCGTGTGTGTATACATATGTACGTGCATTCTGTGTGCGTGGTATGTGAGAGAGCCTGCCAGTTCAGTCGGTGGGTGTTATAGATCCTTTTCTTTCTGCTTTGGGCAGTTCCACTAGGTGGCATTGTTCCACAGGCATAAGAAATCTCTGGTGCCTCATCATGTCAAAATGTGTCAAACTGCTTCACAGGATTCACTGCAAAATGCTGTGTTGGTAACAGAATTTAAACTCAGCAATGTCCCACAGAAGCCATGAAGTGAAAGATCAATATGTTTTTGGACAGCAGTGTGTATCACACACGTGGAGTGGAACCCATCGTCATACTTTTGAGTACCCAACCAGACTTCCATATACATAGGCAATCTATAGATGGAAATATTCCTGTCTGGAATGGAATGTGCACTGTTTCACACGAAGGGTTAGTGGTTTTCATGCAAAGGCTAATGAAAACCTGGAACTCTCTCCCCCTAAAGGTTGGGGATGGTGGATCCATTCAAATTTTCAAGACTCAGGTTGATAGATTTTTTTATTAGGTAAGGCTATCAAGGGATATAGGGCAAAGGCGGGTATTTGGAATTGAGGTACGAGTCAGCCATAATCTAATAAAATGGCGCAACAGGCTCGATGGCCTATATGCGGAATGGCCTATTCCTGTGCCTATGTTTCCCTGGTGGAATGCAACCTGCTTTCCTAATACTATAGCAACGTGATACATCAGGCAGCCCGGCGGATGATTTTGTCTGGTCCAGAAACCATTCCTGACTTGACTGATTTATCTACCGGCTGCACCTCTCTTCTGGTCAGTCTCCATGAGGCAGCTCAGAGAGTGACAGGAAGAGGGGTGGAACAAGAGGTATCCTCCCGTCCTTCCCCTTCCCGTCACGTTCTCATTGCCTCATACAACCTGGTAAGACGCAGCAGGAAGAGTATTTAGCAGTTTTTAACCTACAGAACTATGAGTCTCAGTAGGAAACGCAAGATGTGGAAAATATCAATTTTAGTGTAAGTGGATTACTTGTTTATTGAAAGTAATGGAAAACCTGAGTGCCTTGCTTGCTTCAAGGCATCTCTTCGTTGAAGAAGTTCAGAGTTAGTTTACTAACAGACTGCAGTAAAGTTGCTGCCCTGGGAGGGCATTCACCAGGGAGGGAGGGAGCAGGTTGAAATGTTGGAAATGGTCTCGGGCTGGATGCAGCCCGCGGGCCACCAGCCGGCTCACGTTGGATGTGGCCCACAGACCATTCTCAAATAGGGAATGCGGCCCGCGGCAACCAGACTTATTCAGACTTATTCAATTTCATGACTACTTGCAATTTCTTTTAAAACTCCACGTCCTGGGTCGTGCTGAACAGTTCATATCTTTCAGTATCTTTCAGTATATATTAATATAAAAAAGACTGCTTCAGATTCATGAACATTCGGCAAAAATAATCCTTGCATTTGATCTGGTACTCTGAGTGCTCCGAGTTTGCCAGGACTCCAGGAGAAAAACTTTGCTTCTCTTTTCAAACTGTGCCCTGGGATCTTTAATGTCTGCCTCAACAGGCACAAATGGGACCCTGGCTTGGCGTCTCAACTGAAGATCGGCATATCCAACAAGCAGAAAGTCCTACATTGGAACTTGACTCCACAACCTTTTTTCTGTACAAGGGGTGAGAGTGCAATGAACTATCCACACTGATGGAGTTCCAAAGGGTGGGGGCAGAGTGGCTGAAGTGTGAGACAGTGATGTAGCTGGGCAATGTTGTTGCGGGGGAAGGCAGAGACGGTCATGGCACGGATCTGGGGTAGAAATGATAGTTGAGGGTCAAACAAGATGCCAAGGTTCTGGACTGGCTCAGTGAGGTGGAGAGTGCATCCATGGATGGTGATGTTGCAACACAAGTCATCACTATTTGCAACAATTATTTTGCAAAGTATTCAAAGAAAAATTTGGTACAATACAAAAATAGTAAATAATCCCTAAAACACAAAAGCTCCCCTCTCGACTTCTCTAGTCCTACAAAGGCATAAATGGCGTCTTGTTGTTGTTGTTGTTGTTGTGTAGTTCAACAATTTAGGTGAGAGGCAGCACCAAACTAAAAGTCTTACACTAATGCACGAAAAGTGGAAATCCAGCAGATTGGGAGATTTATTAAAAGCAACAGAGATATAAAGAAAGTAATAAGAAGTGCAAAAAGGGAATATGAGAAAAAAACTTGCAAAATAATTTGTGGAGTCCTGTAGCTCAGTGGTTAGAGCACTCACCTTGCAAGCGAGACACCTGGGTTCAATTCCGAACCTTGGGCAAGTTTGCTTACTCCAACGCCTGATAATAATCCCTCCAAAAAACAAAAACAATAATAAATGGGTCATCTTCAATCCACGGCTGTTTGTGGGACACTGCTGTGCTCATTTGGCTGCCGCATTTCGCCCACAAATATAGTCAATCCACTTTACAACATATTCTATGAAGCGCTTTGAGACGTCTAGAAGATGTGAAAAGCGCTATATCAAATGCAAGGATTATTATTATTTCAAAGGCATTTTAAATTTAAATTTTAATAAATATATTAAGAGAAAAAGAGTGGTAAAGGGGAATATGGACCAATTAAAGACAAATGTTGGTGAGACTGTAATGGGCAATAAGGAAATGGCAGGCTTGCTGAATGAACACTTTGCTTTCCGTTTTCACAGTAAAGTATTTTCACAAAATACCAGCAGTACAAGGGAACCTAAAGATAAGCCAAAGAAGTTTCCCCCAAAAGAGCTTGCATGATTTCCATCAAACAGTCTCACTGACAGCTCTGTCACCCTTCATTATACATTTTCAACAACCAGAGAACACAAATAGCTTTACCGAAATTACAAGAAACTTTCCCTAACACAATGTCTGGGTGACTTAGTTTGATCAAGATAAATGTTTGGCATCGGGGAAGATCTTTCCCTGGTGCAATGTCATTTCGCAGCACAACCTGAAATTCTAAGTCCATGCCTGCTGAATGTTGCTGGAAATCACAAAAATAAGCATTAGCTTACTTGTTTTTAAATGTACATCAACTTCAGTGTATATTTTGTTACATTTAATAGTACATGTCTTAATGAAGTTCAGGCCAAAATACGTGGAAGTGTATTCTATGGGGCACAGAGATCAGACTGCCATTTGAATAGCGAAAGGTGAACTTTGGCGAATTCTTTTCACTCAGGTTGTTGAGATATGCAATGCCCTGACAAGTCCATTGTAGTAGAGACAGAGTCTATTGTGCGTTTCAACAAGGAAGTAAATGAGTTTAATAATGTTAGAGATTTATCAGCATAGGGCAGAGCAGTGGAATTGAAAGTGCAGCTTGCTTTGAAGGCTGATGCAGACTCTTTCTGCACTGTCAATTTCTATGGTTTCAAAGCACAGATAAATCTATGTGCTGTTGTTGTGTTGAAGATACTTTTAAGCTACAGTTCTCAATCACCTTCAGGCTGCTGCTGAGAAGATCCCACCCATATTAAGCCTGAGCCAATAAGCCAGAGTACAAGATACGTGAAAATTATGTGACCTTAAACTACAGTTGTTTCCAGGTGACAAGTTGCAAATTTTAATTTTCTGTCTGTCGCTCACCCCAATCTCTTGAGACAGATCAGTTCAAACAGAACCCGCTCAATAATACCAAAACCACACATTGGCAGAAAAAATATGAAATCCATTTTGCAATCAATCCTGTTGCCTCCAAACTCAAGAGTTAAATTCCAGTTCAGGAAAGCATTGGCAAGACAAAGTTCGGGTAACAGCTTATTCACTAACAATATAACCACATTTGACCTGGGTGGTTGCTGTAAAGTCAACAATAATAACAACAAAATTACATTTGTATAGTGCCTTTCATATTGGGCGGATGTCCCAAGGCGCTGGACAGACAGAGTTTCAGGCCCACCCATCAATAGAGGGGCGAGTGAGGTGGGGAAGTGATGTAGGCCGGAGCCCATTGAGCGGAGGAAGTGAGCAGGATGGTAGGGGGTTAGGAGGTCACAGAGGTAGTGAAGGTGAGGACCAGGGCCTTGAACTGTATCCTCTGTGTGATGGGAAGTGGAGTTGGGCGAGAATGGGGGTAATAGGGTCATGGAGCCTAGTGCAGGAGAGGACTCGGGCTGCAGATTTCTAGATAATCTGAAGCCTATGGAGGGAGAAGCTGGGGAGGCCGACAAGCAATGAGTTTGCATAGTCAAGCCTCGATGTACTGAAAACATGTATGAGGGTTTTGGGGGCCTGTGGTGTGAGATAGTGGTGGAGCCGGGCGATGTTGCGGAGGTGGGGGAAGGCAGAGTGGGTCATTGCGCAGATGTGGGGTAGAAAGGATAGTTGAGGGTCAATCAAGACCCCAAGGTTCCGGACTGGCTTAGCGAGGTGGAGCGTGCAACTGTGGATGTGATGCGGTCAGCGCCTGAGGTGAGGAGGCGCTGACGGGAGCCAATCAGGAGAGCCTCAGTCTTGTTGAAATTCAACTGAAGAAACAAACAAATGGTGAGGTTCCACCCACAAAGTCAAAGATATTCCAGAGGTTTATCAAAGCCTCCAGGGACACAGCAGAAAACTGGTTTTTCAAATCTGTGAATTTACTTGGTGAGAGGAGGAAAAAAGTATTTGATAGAGAGTCAACGGAATGCAAGTGACTACCTTCGC